GAATCGGCAGGCGGACTCCCAGCCACTGCGCCACCAGGGAAGAAGCCCCCAGAGATACTTTTAACTCCTTATCATTCTACGTTGAGCCCCTGTGGTCTAGAGGCAGCGTCATCCCTGGAATCAAAGGCTCTCCGCGCCTACAACCTCTTCTCTCTCCTATTCTTGTGCCACTCCCACTCTTTTCTTTTCCCTAGCTTTGATTATGCACTTGGGGGTTTTGATTGCTGCTTTCTCTGACCTCCCTGCCCCAGCCCTGACCCCTCTTCTGACCTGGGGGGCTACAGGAGAGAGAACAACAGGGGCTGAGGGTGACAGCAGCAAATTCAAGGTCATGCTGGAAGTTATGTCAAATTTAAATGGAAAAGACTTTATATCCATTCTCCCCAAGGAAATTGGGGTAGGCAAGAAATAGATACGGTAGATATAGATAAATCTTTTCATTTTTGTCAGGATCCCTTGTAGTTTTGTATCTAGTTTATTGTGTAACAATTTATCTTTGAAACATTAAAAAAAAATGATAGCTATATTTATGAGTACTTACTGTGTGCCAGGCACAGTTCTCATTGTTTTACATGTATTTATTCATTTAATTCTCAAAATTCTCTAAATTAGATACCGTGATTATCCCCATTTTACAACTGAGAAAATTGAGGCATAGAGAAGTTAAACAAATTGCCTGAAGACCATTGTTAGTAGTGCTACAATCCATTCTTCAAACAATAGGCAAGGCTTAACCTTGCTTTAAAATAGACTGTTAGATGTGTTTGGGTGACTAAGGGCAGGGACATCCACAGAGGGCAGATCCAGGCCATTATGATGGAGCCCAGAGTCGTGTAATCTGCTTTGTTTCTATAACAGCCTCTGCTATTCCTCTAGGAAAATTCACTGGCAACAGCGATCCTTCCAGTGTTTCTTCTTTAGAGTCGGTTATGTCAGAACATGCCAGTTTCATGGGTTGCCTGTCTGGTTTTACACTTAGCAGGGGAAGCACACATGTTATTCCTACTTCGCCACTGGCTAGGCTCCAGATTGAACTGGGCTTCTTAGAAGAATTAAGCCAATACTTGATAGCCCCGTCATAATATGGCCACTAGCTGACCACAGACTTGGGCAGTGGATAGGGCCAGTTGGCTGCTACTTCTGGTGGATGCAGCTTTTGACCAGGTGCTATAATGGAACGATTTTAGGTCTCAGGCAGATATGTTGTGTTAGACTTGAAAGAGGTCCAGTACCCATGTCTTTTCAATGTTTAGAATTAGTAAATGTAATGTCTCTTTAAATCTATGAGCATATCTCAGAATGGCAACCTCATTTCTCCCCATCCCGTGCTTGGTAGAAGGAGATGAGAAACTTTGAGGATGGCAGGTCTGATTTACTACTTTGTGGCAGGAAGCAGATGCCTTGGCTGCCGTGTTCTTCTAGCATCCTCTGTTGATCCTCAAGTGCCCCTGTGGGAGGAACACACTGGATTACATGTTTCACTGAGCAACATCTCCTGGAAAGTACATTATCTTGATGACGGTAGACAATCTTTTGAAGACGGCACATTTTATTCCTTGAAAGGGCTTCCTCATTTGTACCAGTCACTGACAATCTGTTCATCAAAAATATCATCCCCCATCAGGCATTTAAAGACACATGATCTTGACTGACACAGAACATGTCTCCTGGATTTAGGAAGCGATGTTAAAATCTGCCTGTCCACTCCCTCCTTGATCAAATGGAATGGATAGCCTAGGAAGCTACCTCACAATAACCCCAGCCAACTCATCTACCTGTCTCACCACTGAGGAATTTACCCCAAACATGCTTCACTCCTCCACCAGGAACACTCCATTCCAGAGCAATCATGGCTCTCAGCCCCTTACATCTCTGACCTCACCGACATTCCACAGGTCAATCAGGTTCTGAACAAACTACAGATCTCTCAGCTAAGATATCCTCTAGTGAATCAATGACAGAGTGGTCACCGGTTGGCCCAGAGCCCTGACAAGCCCTGATGAAAGGACACCTCTAGTAACTTTTCTTTATAAAAGTACTACGTTCCCGAGCCAGAAGCTGATATCTAAGGCAATGTAAGGTATATTAGCTTGCTAGGGCTGCCAGAACAAAATACCACAAATTGTGTAGCTTAAATAATAGAAATTTATTTTATCACAGTTATGGGGCTTGGAAGTCCAAGATTAAGGTGCCAGCAGGTTTGGTTTTCTCTGAACCCTCTGTTCTTGGCTGACTTCTTGCTGTGTCCTCACATGGTCTTCCCTCTGTGCACACACATCCCTGGTGTCTCTCTGTGTGTCCAAGCTTCCTCTTCTTATAAGGATACCAGTCAGATTGAATTAAGGCCCATCCTTAATGGCCTCCTTTTGACTTAAGCACCTCTTTAAGGGCCCTACCGCCAAGTACAGTCACATTCATAGGTACTGAGGGTTAGGGCTTCAACATACGTATTTTGGGGGAGCATGATTCAGTCCATAAGACAGAGTAATCAATCAAATGGCTTTTTGACTATTCTGATTACCCACTTCTCTGTGAATCAATCCTGTCATCCACAATGATTGACCAAATTAACCCAGTGAGATCTTACCCTCTAATCTGTGTCTTATTGACATTTTCTGCAGTCTCAGAGTAGGTACCTGAAGCCTCCTTGTTGGATACCTAAACATATTACAACCAGGTCCCAAACACCCAATAAAAAGAGTACCAAACTGGGAACTTCCCTGGTGGTCCAGTGGTTAGGACTACGGGCTTCCACTGCAGTGGGCACAGGTTCAATCCCTGGTTGGGGAACTGAGATCCCTGGTCCGGGAACTGAGATCCCACATGCCACACGGTGCGGCAGAAAAAAAAAAAAGGAGTACCAAACTGGTACAGGACCCCACCTCCTGCCTGAAAAGAAATAAAGCCTCTGCTTTGTGACCTCAGGGAATCTTGGACTTTTTCAGCCTATAGGAAGAAATTTGGTAAGAAGCCTGATCTCGTCATCCACACCCAACAGGGAAAGCACCCCTTTTCAACCCTGTAGGGATTATCATTTAATTGGCCTGGATTGGAGCTCAGCTATTTATAATTTCCCATGGGTCACTTGCATTTCCGCACATTTTGCACACAGAGCTTGTGTTCTGGACTGTTTTTTTCAAGGATGTTTCTATAGTGAACAGCTTTGGGCAGATAGAGATAGTGGCTGCCCCAGAGCAGATGGCGGGTTTGTGTGCTTCCTCTGGGGTACAAAGGCTGGGCAGATTTGCTTGTAACCTATTATAAAAGATTGAGGTTTCCTAAGCTCGGGATTCCTCGGCCGTGACCTAGCCCACTGCCTGCACACTTTCCACCTGGATTATTCTGCACTGCTCCCTTGGTATTTGCAGGCTGGACACATTGGTGCAAACATGAAGCTCATGTCTCTGACGCTGGAGTCTCTTGTCTTCTGCCAGCGTCCCTGAAACTGTGACAGGCCATCAGCATTTTAAAAGGTCACCAGGTGATTCTCATGAGAATCACTGTCTTCAAGAAATCACTACTGATTCTGCTTCCTGTTCGATTGCTTTCTTGAGTCTTCTTTCACTGTCTTGCTTAATCTTCCCAGTAATTCTCCACTTAGGTTCCAGTTCCTGGTTCTCTGCCCCTGTGATGGCTTCAGACCGTCCCTTGTTTCTCAAGCCTGTTTTTACCCAAGCGGTCCTTGGTTCCTCTTTGTTCCATGCTTCAGAGCCACACGCCATTCTCGCTCCGTATCCAGTCCCACTCTGCAGGACAGTGGCTCTGGTCTCCTTCTGTCCCCTAAAGTGGGGAAGGCAGTTGGACTCCAAGGATCAAGGGCAAAGGATCAAGTTGCTGAACAACAGAGTCAGGAACTCAGGGCAGAGTCTGAGCGAAGAGAGATTAGGATCTCAGTAAAAAGAGAAAAAGGGAGCATTTTATTGAAGCATATGTTCTAAGATTCTCACAACACATATCTAACACTGATGAGTATAGTTAGAAACACAAAATAAAGATGTTTTTATTCTCATCAGCTTTGGCACCTCATTAGCCTCTACATGTTCTCAATTATAGTCAGATATATTTCCCAATTTATAACTTCTTATCTTGCTATTCCTATTTCTATATACTACCGTGCTTTCATTCATAAATATGAGGCTCTAGCATGTTCCAAGGACTCTGATGGGAAATAAGGCGGAAAGAG